GCCAGCCTGGTCTACAGAGCAAGTTCCAGGATGGCCAGTTCTGTTACACAGAAAACAGTGTCTTGGAAAAACAAGCAAACAAAACAACAACAAAACCCAATAAAGATTCACTAATTCGGGGGTACAGAGATAGTTATAATCTAATTTGGACACTTCACCACACAAGTAGCAATTTAGGGGTTCTGTTTTAGAAAATGCAACTTTCTTGGCTTTGGGAGTTGCCTGCAGTGACAGAGCTAGTAATGTCTTCTGGAGATGGGAAAGCATCCCGCAGAGAGCTGCAGATGCATACACACTGCTCTGTGTGTGCTCAGGAGACGGTCAAGCCAGCACGCCCGCCCAACATTCAACATTCATACGGGCTAAAGATCCTAAGACACACCCTCACGCTTGTCTGTCAAGGACTTCTCTGTGTCCTTTTCTAACCTTAAAAAAAAAGTATCCTCTTCCTTTTGAAGTACAGGAGAACTTCGATTTTTATCTTTTTCTTTCTTCTCATAGCATATGCCCCAAATCCTTTTTTCAAGTTACCTGACCTTTGCCTCAATGTCTTCATTCACAAGAGAGTCAAAAAAGAACACTATCTCGCAGTATCATCCTAACAACCAAGTGCTCAGAATTGTACTTAGAACAGAGTCTGTGCTCTAGAAAAACTGTTTGCTCCTAGTTACTGAACATGTTCTCCACGACAAACTGTATAATACATGCCACAGGGCAGAAACAGCTATGAACAATAAATCATAAATATTTAATGTCAGGAGTGATAAGCGCCTGAGGAAAAATAATAGCACAAGACGGTAAGAGGGTAGAGAATGATTTTTTAAAAAGTGTTGTTTTTATATTTTTTTCAGGCCTTTGTGATAAAGATGTTTATCAACACACCTCTGAAAAGAGTGATAGTAAGGGATGGTCAATGAGGCCGGGAGACATTACAGTGCCAAAGCCCCACCACTGGAAAGCCCCACCACTGGGGAGTGCTGCCTAGCTACAGGGAATAGGATGGGTGGGGGCGCAGAAACAGGGAGGAAGGAAAGAATCTGAGAGGAAGATGGTTGGGGGAGGAAAAATGCGATCATGGAGCACCTTGTTGCTCTGGTTCAGAAAAGATGAGACAGGGCTGGGGCAGCAGCACCGGGAGCTGGGGAATCACGGAGGAGCCTGTCACACTGGCAGAGAACACAGACGGCAGTGACAGGGAGGGCAGGGTTCACCACAAATCTCTCTTCCCCGTGTTCTCAAAGCTCCCTTGCTTGCTAGCACTGAAATCTACTCAGCACCATGTGGGGCCACTGTACAGATGCTATCGAGGTGCGGACCTCAGATAAAAACTAATAACAGGAGGATATTAAAGTTTCAGGTAATTTCTGAACTCATTCATTTCAGCCACGTTATTGTACAGAGGTGGACGTAGAACTCCAAAGATAACAGATGACTTACTCAGGTTCAAATAGCTCATTACAGCCACCGACGGGCCAGGCAATCACTGCTTTTATTTCCCCCCTCAACAAAAGGCTGCCCTCAAATCAGTCTTTCTATGGACTTACAGAAATAATTTAACATCCTTATTTTAGTGATTTCTCTCATCGCTTCTGGTGTAGCTATGGGAGCCGAAAAAGTTCTAAACGTGTTCTCTATAGGTTAATATTTGCAAGAAAAATTTTAAAGTGTTTTTTTTTTTAATTTCTAAAATTGCAATTTCCCTATAAAAAGTATTGGCAGTGGGACACCAAGCTGTGATCTCCTAATGTGTGGGGCCACATTCATAGCCATCGCTGTCATAGGATGTATTCCGGCTCTGGGTATCAGTTTGAACACGCCCAGTATAAAGTCTATATTAATGACCTATCGCCTTAACCAACTGACTGGCAGTTCTGAGAATCTATTACTACAGATAGAAACACCGCTGATCTTTCCGTAGACACTTTAGGATGTCAATCTCTTATCAAGGGCTTGAAAACTGTTGGTCAGACTCAGGAGCAGTCCCGTGTGTCACAACTCTGCCTGTAGCCAGCACCCAAGGGAAAGGGGGGGCAGTGACAAGCCCCCATTTGAGACGAATAAAGGAGCTAGAACACTGAAGGGCACTTTGTCCTGAAGGTAAATCAGGCGCTCTACATGAGATACAGTCAACCAAAACATTTTCTTAATTTATGTAATGCAAAGAAGTTAAGAAAGAAGATAAGCCTCCTGAAGACGAAGAGGATATTGATGAGAATTCTCTGGTGTGTCTCTTGTCTGAATCTAGGTACCCCTGCTATGAAATGCTTGCCTTGCCTTTCTGCCAAATCTGTTACTATCTTTCTGCCCCCCCTACCCTACAGCTGAGCTCAAACCTAAAGCAGGACAGACCGTAGGCTATGGGCTTCTTCCTCTTCCTGGTTCTGGAGATGCGAGGAGAGAGGTGTTAAGAGACTTGGTCCCTTTGTCCCCACAAGAACACTCTCTGATTTCCACTGGCGGGCAATTAAACTCCTTTCTGAGATGGATGTAACAAGTGTGAAGAAAAACCATTTCCCAATCACTTTTTTTATTCCCCACATCGTAGGAGAAAGGAAATTCAACCGAGGGCCAATTCTCCCCGAAGAATCCTGTGCTTTAATTATGAGCAGAGCACATTAAATGTGCTAAGGCGTCCATGTTCGCCCTGCCCCTGTTCTCAGCAGAGAAAGACAGGAGAGCCTTTCACTATGGAGCAGACAGGGAGGCACGCTTCTGAGGGATGAAAACATGGCTGGAAATCCCATTTAACTGAACACCAGGCCACTGTGCCTCTTGTAAATGAACATCGCTTTGCTGCTTAATTTTGTGCTATTTTACCTTTCATTAAAAAAAAAGTAATTTAAGTTAAACTCAGCCGAACAGCAAAAAGCTCTTGATATTTTGAAGCATTTTGGAACAATTACTTTGACGGGAGCCCTTGACAGTTAAATGACTCCGCTAAATGAATGTTATAGAAGACACATAATGACTTTTAGTGAAATATTGAATTTAACCACAAGTGAGGAAAAACCTAGTCACAAGCACTACAGTATATGTGAATAACATCTTGCTTATGAACCTCAATGGGTTCTATAACTTCTAATAATCACATAATCAACTTGTTGGCTGGTGAGTGTGTTTCCCATCTCGAGGCCGTCTCTTTATTTTCAGTCTCTGCCTTTGTTGGTTTTTAAATCTGAGAAGCCAATAAGAAGATATCAGTCCTGGTAATAATTTCCCCTTATAATACAGCAGTTTACAGTTGGGGAATTAATGAAATTAATGCTGCCCCATCACTGAAAACCTCCTCCTTCCTGTTCCTCCCTCTGCTGAATGGGATTCTTTCACAAAGTCAGAACTCGTGAAGCTGAGTGCACTGCCTGAGACCGTGAGGGGTCACCGGGTGCCAGTGTTTCCTGCATCTGTAAGACTCAATCTTCCTTTTTTTATTTTATGCACGGGATGTGAGATAGCATCGAGGCTTTTTTACATGTTTTCTCATGACTAACAACAGAAGTATGTGCTGAAATAATAAAACTGGTACTGTTCAATTTCCTTTTTAAAATTCAATTCCAATGCAAGCGAGAGAGCCGTGGCGACGGTGAAAGCTGACTTACGACGAAATTCTGTTCTCTGAAGATGGAGAGGAGCTAGGAAACTCAGGGGCTCTAAACCATGTGGGTGGAGACATTTGGATAGAAGAACTGAGTCAGAAAAACAGGAATGTTCTCTGGCTTGTTTGTCTGGCAGGCTGATGGGGGAAAGGGATGCCAAGCATTCAGAGGGGTATCAGGTGGATTTCTACACAGCGAGTGCAATCACGCTGCTTCATTCCTGACACAGGTAAGACTCAAGTCCTCCTGAGTCCAGACTGGCCCTTGCATCTGTATTCAGCAGCTGCTCTTACCTGCACTCCCCCTTTACAAAAAATAGGGAATATCTTCGTCTAGCACCTCCTGACACTTCAGAGCCAACGTGAGCTCCTCAATAAACATACCATGAACTTCAGAGTACCATGAACGGACAAATAAGCTTCTGTGACCTACTGTCAATAGTGAACACGGGAAAAGCCAGAGTCCAGCATCTAGACTCTAAGTATTCGATACTAAAAAAAAAAAAAAGTATCAGCTAGAACCCTGTTACTCAACGTGTGGCCCATAGGCCAGCAATATGAACACTACCGGGGTACTTGATGCGTGCAGAATCTCAGGTCTAAAGCCAACATCTGTATGACAACCAGACCCCCAGGGGTCTCATGCACAGGGAACTCTGAGAAGCACTTAGGAGTAATCTCTAACGGTGTGACGCCTCAACATGTAACGTTGTTGTAACGCCGTGTGTGACGGCACTGTGACGAAGGCAGGTCTGCCGAGAACATTCAGAGTTCTCTCAGGAGAGTCACACAAGGCTCACAGGTGAGAAAGCAGTTCCCTGGGAGCTCTTCCTAGATCCTGCTTCACGCTTGCCTGTCTAAAGACACAGCTGCTCCTAATAATTGTCTCTCCTCCTCGGTGCAAAGCAAGTACTTTATCGTCAGCCTGCTGACATTTGCAGGCGTTGTGGCTTTCTCCACGAAAAATGTGGATGATTGAAAGGATATTGCTGACACCTGAATAAGAAATGCAATGACTCCAAGTTATGTAAATTTAATTATTTCCTTTAATTCTTTTTTCAGGAATCTTTTTTTTTCTTTCCCCATGCTTTAAAAAAAAAAGTCTTGGCAATTTTCATTTAAAAGAAATACCAGTCAGCAGTGGTTCACTGAACGGGCTGACATGCAATTTCATAGAGGAAGAAGCGGTGTGTCTTTAATCTAATTTGGGTTCTCAATTCCCAGCTAATGTATCTAGGGACCATGATGTGTGCATTTACAAGGAGACATCTGTAATGCAGAGTCCAGCTCTACAATTCTCCACAACATAGGTTTGGTGGTTTGGTTTTTTTTTTTTTTCCTTTTCTTTTTTTAAATGAGCCCGAGTTTTGCAGCTGCCCCAGAACAGAATAAATCACTATGTACTCACAGATGTAGAAATACTCTCGGCCTGGCCTGAATTCAAATCCTAGAGAAAAGGGAGTGAAGAGCTGGAATTTCTCCGAGAACTTCAGCGGTCCATTTGGAGAGTGAGGCCGGTTACATTCCCATCTCTTGAACCCTTTGGAAGTGTGGTCGCAGGCACTGTAGCCATCAAAGTTCACCATGTAGAGGACATAGCGCTCAGTCTTGTCTTCTGGGACAGAGTCCTCATAGTGAGGGCAGAAAACATCCAGGTAGTCATTGATGCAGACGTCAATGTGGTAGTCACCCCTCTGGAATCTGTTGGAAAGAGAAGGAGATGAAGATAATTCAGACAGGAAAAGTCTCCTGCTTGGAATCAACGGCGGAAGCCTCCAATAATCCTGGAGGTAAAACATTTAGTATGAAAAGTTCTTACTGACCGCTGTTATAGCCTGATGTGAAAAGTCACCAATCCAACTGCACACCACACACACACACACACACACAAACACACACACACACACACACACACACACACACACACACGCGCGCGTAACACCAGCCCGTAAGTACCACAGGTCTGCTTCAGTTCAAGTCTATAAAACTACAGCTTCTCTGTCTTAATTAATATCTTGCCCAATGAACTGAAAAAGTATTTCACAGGCCACAGTGATGTGCGAAGTAAGAATCATATGGGCACATCTTTCTCAGCCTAAAATCATGGTAGGAAAGCTTATAAAAACGCCTTTGTTTTTAGCTAGTGGGGAAATTCTTCCCTAAGCCCTTAGAAAGGTTCACTATAAAGCTGTGTTACTGCTGAAATACAACACTCATAAAGCCCCATAATCTTCCAGCCCGACAGCCAGTCTCACATGAACACTTCCCAGCGATGATGAGCTGGTCAATTCCATTTTTGGACATCTCTAAATGTTAGAAACTTTCCTCCTATATTGAGCATAAATCTGCTTCTGTGTAATTTCTACTCACTGATCCTACTTCTGCCGCCCGGAGTTACAAAGGGCGCATCTAATTCCTCTTCCACAAGGTAGCCCATAAAACATTTAGAGATGTCAGCTGTGTCCGTAGCCTCCTTTCTCTGTACATGAAAATCCTTGTTCCTTTGGTTATCTCTGGGACAGTTCCCAGGCTCCTTCTCGCTCTAAGCGCCTCCTCATTCCCTCCAGTTTCCCACTGAGTTCTTAAAATGGAGGACCCAAGCATAAATGAGAACCTCAGCACCGTGGGACTCAAAGTTAGCCTAGGAAAAACAGAACACTCTTATTCTCAATGCTAAACACTCTCTGGCAAAGATTCCTGTTTGAGACACAACACTGTTCACAAAGAAAGCGGGAGAAGCACTCACTTTAAGCCAACCTGGCTTTAAGGATTGTATCTGATAAGTCAAAGTCATAAGTCTCCCAGAGCCTCAGTTCCCTTCCATGTATGACAGGAGAACAATGGGTATCCACCTTGTTTGTCCGCCCGCCCCATGGCTCCTCAAGTCTCAGAGGAGGAAGCATAGAAAGAGCAACTGGAGGCTTAAAAGTTCCAAATCAAAAACCAAGGGAAGGTATCGGAACATTTCCATTCCAGCTAGGATCCTTCCAAATACACGGGCATTTCTTCCAAAGAGAACCGCGGGTGTTTATGTCTTGGTGTTTATCATGATCGTGAGTTTACCACTTCTTCATTACTGGCAGGCACTGATTTGTCAAGATGTACGAAAAGACTGTTGCTTTTAAGAGATTTCTGAACATCAAGGTAACATCGCTGCTAAAGTACAAAGAAAAGACATTGCAATGCTCAGATAAAAGGTGTCGGGCTATGAATCATCAGTACTCAAGAGTAGCCTGACAGTTTTGGATGAGAGCCAGACAAGAGCTGCAGCAGAAGGTGATGCCCAGATGCACTTTAAACTATTATATTATTATTATAGATTTTAGAGACATGGGGGGGGGTTCTTTCCCTAGTGTCACTCATGCGAGCTTGACTAGCATTTGAAAGTGCTCAAATTGAAAATGAAAATTAAAAACTGTCATTACCAGGATTTATTCTGATATTCTCTTATTCTATAATTCTGTTGTTCTATAATTAAAAGCCACATTGCCACGTTTCTTTGGCACCTCGGGTTTAGTTCACCTCTTCCATTTTTTCTCTGTTAATGTCACTAAAATTCAAACAATGCAAATTATGGAACTGAAAACCCTTCCTCCATTGGGTTGACCAGTTGTCTCCCCACGTGATACTGGATTTCCATGTGAGGTAAGTAAATTACTGAGTTGCCTAATTTAAATACATGCTTGTTCTAACAACTCATATTCTTTATCAATTGCTGAAGATGATAATCTTTCATAGCCAATTTACACTTCTGTTTCAGATCCTTTTTTGCTCGTCTGTTTTTTGAAACAGGTGTTATGTAGCAGAGGCTAAACTTGAACTTGCCTCGTTGCCAAGAGTGGCCTTGGACTCCTAAACCTTCCTGTATCTACTCTTCAGTGACAGGATTGTAGGCCTGTCTTGTTTCGGGTCTTTAATTTGCACATGTTTACTAATGCATATGTCAAAAATAGGCAATATCTAAATAAAACAATGACTGAGTGAAACCCCTGAAAGGCATTATACAATGTGCTTAGGTATAAAAGAAAAAAATAGGATTAGATATTCTAATTTTATAGCACACAGAACATGACCAAGATTGAATACTTACTACGTTACATTCATATTTCAGTTTAATATCCATCACAGAACCACAGACAATTCACTACTGTGCTCTCTACTCAAAGACAAAGACACTGAGATTAACCCAAGTGATGTGCCCAGTGTTCACAGCTAGTAAAAGGCCGAGGGGAACTGAAACTAAAGCCGTCTGACCTCAGAGCTAATGCTCGTCGTATTGTGTTTCCTAAGAGATTAAATTGCTAACGTCAAGTCCGCAGGTCTGCTTCGTATTCCCTAAAGGGACGAGTCTCATTCTCAATGGAGTTTCGGATCTCTTTCTCATTTACTAATACAACAAGCATTTGCTGTCCTGGGAATCTGTGTGTGTTCTGCATATATGACATACATACACTCTGATACTCAAAACTACTATATCAAGCAGTTATAATGTTTTACGTTACCAATCAGGAACAACATCCAGAGAAGATATCATTCTCTTAGCTCAATTTTTCACTATACAGAGGTAGTGGGGTTAAAATCAGAACCCAAGTCTTACTTAGTTCTGTAGCATATCCTGTCTTAGAAACTACAATGGCCCTGCAGTGTGACAGTTCCACCACTGCAGCAGCTCTTCTTCTTAAATGGTACACTCTTAAAACGGCGGGTACCAGTTTCCTTAGGGTGACACCCTTACAAGACAAGCCTGCATCTCTTCCCTGCCTGCCCATGTGAACATCAGCATTGACAAGAAGCCTTCGACGGCAGTGTGAGCTCTTGACTCACACACACTGTTCTAGTCTCTCACAGAATAAAGGTGCTGTTAGGCTCAGCAGCCATTCGCATAGAGGGATTGTTTCCATCAGAAAACAGCTTTCACAAGCCTGGGCTCACACTAAAGAAGAAATGCACATCTAGAAAAGATTCTGCATGCCATATTTACAGGTGCCGTGGCGACATGAGCACTGCCCTACAGGTTAGCCTGCTTCTTAGGGCCTTTCCTGCAAACGTCTTCTCTTTCTTACTTCCTCTGATTTTACCCACTGCTTCCGTAGTGGTGACCTCTTTGAGATCACTGAATCTTTAATATATAATAATTAAATAAATTAAATAAGAAACTATAATATCTGGCAGGCCACCAGATAAGGGAGCAATCATTCGTCCAGTCTCTAAATCATCACTGTGGTTCACCCTGTAAAAGCATGAACTCTTGCCATATTTAGTAAGGGGGTTTCATCTGCGTAAGCAGTTACCACTCTGCCTGCACAATGTAAATCTCTTAGGAGCCAGAAACATCCCACATGCATAGAAAGATGGCCCCTGTTTCTCACTGGGATCCATGTCTGGTCAGATCAATGCTCCTCACAACATACAATAAAATATATCTCTTACAGCAAAATTATATTTTACCCACCTATCAAAAATCTGTCAATAGATTGGTTGAGGGTCAATATCATCTCTAGTACCAAAGGTCCATGTTACCTGCCTAAGAATAAAATTCAGCACAAAAATTAAGCCTCTGTAATCATCCCCAATAGCCAGAGTGAGTCATAGAGTTGGTGGGAAGTTGGAGACGACCAAGCCACCTGACAGGTTAAAGGAAAGGCGCATTTCCAAAGGCGACTTGTGGCAATGTGACCACAGAAGTAGGGACGAGAGCTGGGAAGCCTGCCTCTAAGTACAGTATTTGGCTGGTAACTTTCCATCATATTGCTAAATGTCGTCTTGGTTATCAATTTACAACCATTGTTAATATCTCTTCTCTTAGTTAACCTGGGCAGTGGAAGTGAATCATGACTTGAATCTCAAAACTCAAATCAAAGAAAGAAATGACAATTGTCTTTTCATTTAGTTCTCAATGACATGCCCACAAATTCTTCCTGAGACATAAACTCTCATTTGACAGCATTAGTTAGCTTGACCCATACATCTCTGTCCTCCTGACTCCTTTATTTTCCACCCTGGATCGCTGGAAAAATCAGACACCTAGTAATGAGTACTTGGTTTCGTTTTCAGTGGAGTTCTTACCTCAACCCTGTCCTTTAGTAAAGCAAAGAGAGAGCGCCCAGGTGTCTTTGGCGGGCAACGGCTTTGCGTGACACTGACATTTCCTTCCCGACCATATGCCCCTGCGTCGTGGGCTCTGACAGCTAGAGACCGCAAACGCCAGAAAGACACAAGCAGTGCAGTAGGAGCACAGTCCTCCCCCAGCCATTTTCTCCCGTAGCCTTCCTCCTCCCGCTCCTTCCCCCTCTGCTAAAGCCCAAATGCATTTCATCTTCCTAGCTGGAAAAGGAAGGGGACGGTGCATATTTAAAACATTCTAAATTGGCCTTTAGCATATGTTGCTGGCACAGCAGAGAGCTTGCTTCCAGGGAAATACATGGTGAGGTATTTTATCGAGTGACTCCTGAGCGAAGTGTCTTCACTCCATAAATACAGACACGGTGTCATTGGAAGGAGACGATGCCATTAGAAGTTAGGGAGCTTCGGGGCACTTTTACTCCCCTTCGGGTCATGTCTTAAAGCACTCAACAATGAAAATGTTATCTCTCCCTAATCAGACAGTTGATGACTACGTTTTAAATACATCTTCATATGTCAGGAGGTGATTGTTTTAATATTCCTATTTGAGTAGGACCCCGCTGTCACCTCCTTAATTA